GATGAGCAGAGCAGGGAACAAGGAAAATCAGAAAGGGGGGAACATGCCTATGTCAGTACACAGACAAAACTAAAGAGGGGGAGGAAGACAGACAGCAACACAGAGAAGGGGGAAACCCAAGTTACTGCAGTGCCTTAACATAGACCAAAGCATTAGCGTCTATCATTTAATAAAATGAAAATTAGTGTGTGGATGGATATTCCAGCTACCTAAAAATGTCAAGGGAATCACTCTATTTCACATACCACAAATTCCATATCCTCCTGCAACATTGTGTCCTCATAATGAGGACATTACATTTTGGGTTCAATCCCAACACAAAAGTGGACAAGGTAAAAAAAAAAAACCTGATCACCCGGTTGTATATTTATATGCCTAATATTATTTGTAGTTTGATATGGAATACAAATCTCACCAATTTTATCAACAGTAACAAGCTAAGATGCTGTTAATTAGGAAGTACTCATTTGAGGACATTTGGACTTTATCATCTTGTTTGAGGATATTGAGACTTTATTATTGAATTATCGCAGAATTTCACACAGGCCAATTAGGTGTGAGACTGTTTCAACAGACAAAACAGACATTCCTCGCTTGGAGAATGGAGCAAAGACATTTCATACAGAGTTAAAAAAAAAAAAAAAGAACAAATCACAAGGCTTTTTCATATGTTGCATTATTTGCAATTTTGCTTTTGCTTTTGTTACCTGTTTTGAACAGTTTTGAACTTCAACAGTGACCCCTAACCTATTGAGTTACAAAACATTGGATGAATGTTTCATTGTTTGTGATTCTGTTTTTGCAACACTTGAACAGTGTTCAGGCAATGAATTAAAGCTTTCTCATACCTGATTACAGAATTGTGACTATTAAAAACAAACCCATATGAGGACATAATTTTTTCCAAAACTATTTACCGTTCAAAGACAGTGTTTAATTTTTTATATTAATCCTTTTCATCCCAAATAGCTAGGGGAAATTAAAAATGCATACCAAACAAGAGTTCAGGTCTTAAGAGGATAATGAGGCTCTAACAGTAAGGAATAGGTCAGTACCCCTTTTTATTAAACACAAGTTTTATGTACTTGATATTGTTTATTTTTTTGTTTAGGTCTGGTGCCCTTTGTAACATGGTTCTTAGGGAAACCACTGAAACTTACACGAATGAAAAAGTGTTTAGTCTGGAAGGGACTCTTTGGGGCAAGATTGTCTAAGGCCCAGACATCTATGCTCTGGATACTCCTTTATTTCTCTGTCACCATCCTGGGTGTGGGTACGTACAATCTTGTTTCTATTGTTACATCTTAAACACACCATGGGGCCAGTCACTACACTCAACCTGAAAGGTGCAAAAAAGCTATGAAAAAGTCTGGCCTATAGATGGCAGTAAATTCCTTTCAGTGGGCATTAACACCAGCAGCCCAATATGTCACCATATGCCAATACTGTATGTCTAGCCAGTATCCACTGCTGTAGAAGGACTTGTATTTGGTGAAATACGGTCTTTTCCTGGTCCTGGTCTGATCGGTGGGTACAGTTTTAGTAATGTGCAATAAAACTCAGGATATTTGTCCTGTGAGCAGCTATGATATCTGATGAAAGCAGGTTTATCATTTTTCTGCCTTTGCCTTTACACATCTCCTCAAACTCTGGTGTTTCAGGTCTGGCTTTGTATTTGTCAGTCAGAGATGTCATCCACACATCTGAACAATCTGGTGTTGTGTTCTTCAGATGCAAAAGGGGATGGCTCATTTTCACTGCGTTGTCATCTCTTGGTATGAATAATAATGACACCACGTGAACACTTCTTCAGGTTAATGCCACATGCACGGGCCACACACTCCTGAGCACTGATCTCTCTCTTTCCTGAGTATGCCTGCATGACTTCCCTCATTTCATCACATTCATTGACATTGTCTCTGTTGGAGTTCTGAATGACTGTTTTGAGGTACTCAGAAAGTCCAGATTCTTTTTTGGTTATGTAGCTGGTGTGATATACAATGCAGGAATATGCACTGAGAATGTAGCTTACATCAATGTTGGCATTCCAGGCTTCAAGTAGGTGTGGATTATATCCATTTACCCAGCAGTCTTTTGGGTTATGTTTCAGTATCACAGCACTAGATTTGTTTATCAGATTGAGGCATTGCTCATACTCACTGACTGTTAAATTGCACTGAGCTAGAAGCTGCTGCAAACTGAGAGAGGCAGTTTGGGGTTCATTCAACAGCATGTTAAGTGGTTGGAGCTTTGTCTTGGCTGTTTCCACTGTAGTGTAATGTACTGATTTACTGAAGACATATACTGTACCTTTTAGTTGACCTTTAAAAAGATATGTGTTGAAGCAATATAATCTGTGCAACTGACAAATTACACACTGGTTTAATATTTCATGTATTCTTATGACACACACACACACTTATTGAGCACTTAAGCATTGTGGTGGAGAAGTACCTAGGACTCACTGTGAATCATTTCTAAAAATAGCATGAGGATGGGTTCAGAAAACACTAGTGGAAAATTAGGGGAATTACAGCTTGTCCTGAGAATGACCCTAGAGGGGGAAGGACTAAAAAGTGCTGAGTCAGCAGAAGTATGACACCATTATGGTGGAGAAAAAGTGACTCAGCAGAGGTGGGATATCGTTACGATCAGAGCCAAGTGGGAAGGATTAAGGGAAAGAAATGACTCAGCAGAAATTCTACGATAAAAGAGCGAGCGCAAACAAAGAAATTCCAGCCTTGCTCCGGAGCTTGGCTCATTTGGGTTGTGATGTGTTTGTTGCCTGCGCGCATATTAAACTCAGTTGCATCTGATTCTACGTGTCTCCAGTGATTTTTTTTGACCTCTGAGTATCTGAGTTTTTGATATCTAATGGAAGATAAAGAAAGTCCGTTTGAGAGGAAAAGAGCGAGGTCGCGAGCTAACTGGCACGGCTCGGGACCTTGACTTTTTTGCTTCTACACCACTTGCACTGGATCAATGTCTTCACCAGGCCTTGTTATCATTGTCTTTCTGGCAGGTGGTTTGGGAAATCCAAATCTACAGCCTGAGCCGACGCTTCTGAAGCATGTTCAGGAATGGTTTTTGCCATGCACTTGCACTTCTGTGACTTTCTTGTACAGTTCAGGTTGTGTATGTGGGTCAGGCAGCTGTGATGTATTTGGACACAAAGTTACACACTGTCAGATCATCATCTTTCTTGAACGCAGGTGTAACTTCTACCCAAATGAGGCAGTGTATGTGTGGGCTTCCTCTGTGCTGAAACTCAACTTGGTAAAAGTAATCGGCAACTTTGCCGAGGAGCTGTGCAGGAGATAGGAGCAAATCTCTGAATTATGCCTCTACACGTTTATCAAACATGCACATTGCTGTCACAGGATTGCTTTGCAGTATGTCACACTTTGCTGACCGGTCAAGCCTTTCAAAATTGACACCCCTTACCTTGCTGCCTTTTTATTGCCTCGATCACTTCAGGCCAACGCATTTCAGCTGCAGAAAATGTGCAAAAAAAAAGTGGGTGTCCCCGGCTGTCAAATCATGGCAGAAAGATCTCTTGTTGTTTTCTCCCAGTAAGCTGGAGTGCAAGTGGCTGCATAAACTTGACTGCATCTTTATTTCGCACCAGTTTCTCAACCTCTCGTTTATCTTGCAACATGCTGGAGGTAATTCTTTGTCCATCTCTGGTCAGAGGCTTTCCTTTCTTCAAGTGTATTGTCATGCTGGAAGTAGTCAAGTGTATTTCAGTCACAAACTTTGCAAAGAACATGTAGTTTGTGTCTCTGGCAAAACGTTCATCAATACAGAAAAGCCTTGCTTTGAAATATTGACTGGGTGTTAGTTTAATATATCTCTGCTCATCCAGTGTGTTTTGACCAGTCGGGAACTGTACAGGAAAAGCCATGGCCTCTATTTTAGGTGATCTGATAAAGCTAACTAGACTGTTTCTTTCAGCAGGGGCAACAAGTGGATTCCTTCACTAAAACACTCTCTCTAATAGCACACAGCTGAAGGCAACTTTCAAGGGCAAACCCACCATTTGGGAGATCACCTTCTTGTTCTGAGTCATCTCTCTGCTACAATATACAATATAATACAACATTTCAATATCCTGCTCATTTTCGGGCTCATTTTCTGCCTCACACAGTGCACTTTTCTCACATCTGTCAATTTCCATTACATCAGCTTCATCATAATCATAATCCGCCATTGTTTCATCCTCATCATTATCCTCATCAGGAAGTGTTGGGTCACATAACTCAGGCTCATCTCTGATGGTTATGTCCTCATACTGTGGGTGAATTTCTTTGAGTTTATGCAGCGCCTGCACTAGTTTGGACCAGGTAACAGTCTGGAACAGCTGATGACCTCTCTAACACAGTCGTCTCTTCAGTTTTACTCTCATGACTTGAGACTCACTTGTCAGACTGGGTAATGCTTCAACTGTTTCCTGCACCTCAGAGGGGACACATACCACAATACCACGTATTGCTGTCTGTTAGGAATTCGACAGGGTGAAGCAACAGCTGAGATCCCTGAACATTCGCTACGGTATGATGTATCCAGCCAAGCTTCGCCTAAGGACAGAGGGTCAAACACATGAGTTTAATTCTCCTGAGGAAGCCGAGAAGTTTGTGTGGGGTTTGTGGCGACCAGAGGAAGCCTGTGAGAACTGAAGGGAGTCCTACCAAGCCGTTGCAAGCGCTCTACACTTCATAAGGGGACATCAAACAATATAACATAATGTAATTGTGGTTTATATAAATGCCTATTTGGTTACTATAATACTATTATGCTTGAAAGGGGTAGTGTATTTGTGTTAATACGATACGACTGTTATTTTATTTTTATTTGTTTATAGGTAGTAATCTTGCATACATTCAAGCAAGGAAAATGGTAAAAATAACAGAGTTTTCCCTTTTATAATTATTAGTGTGTGTGTGTGTGTGTGTGTGTGTGTGTGAGTGAGTGAATATTGGAAATTGTAAATGAATATCTTATCACAAACCTAAAAACCCCATATAGATATATGTGGGTAGATTGTACACAACTAGATATAAATAGGGCATGCAAGTGTACAATTTGCCAGGAGACACAAGTGCATTTTGGTTTTGATTTTACAACAGACGAAGGTTTAGTTTAGTTAACTGCTCCCTTGTTTTTGCACGGGATCAGTTGGAGCAATTACCTAGGCTACACCCCTAGTGAATGGGGAGAGGGGGAGAGTAAGCAAAGCTGTCATGTTTTGTGTAGACGGCTATAAGGGTTTATTTCCAGCAGTATTTAATGTTATTTTATTTATTTATTTTTTGTGTTTACATGTCTCACAGTGCATCTCAATGCAATGGCACACTCTCAAGGTATTCTCCACACAAAAGCAACAGTCATATCATCAATTTAAATCTATAAACATTATGTACATATTGGTTCTTAAATTAGACTAAAATCACTTCGATTAAGAAACTGAAATTCACCTCCTGAAATGTAAGGGGTATGTGTTATGGGCTGAGTTTTTTGATGCATGTTTTGTGGCTGCTCTTGTGATGTGTTTTCTTTTTTTTGTTCTCCTGTCCTTCCATGACCTGCAGGGCTGGTGTGTGGCGGAGGCGGGGCTGACCTACTTTTCCACCACGGGTGGTGAGGCACACCTGGTTTCCATTTCACCTCATCTACCTCACTATAAAGCCGGCTCTGACTTCACTTCAGTGCCAGATAATTCCATCTCGTTCGGTAGCACTAGTCTTACTTGAGTTTCTTTGCCTCATAAGTATTTTGCCTGCTTCTTTTTTTGACCAGCTCCACTGACTCGTGTTTTTTGTCCCTGTCATTCACAGTTTGGTGCCTCGCCGCCTTATTCTCCAGAGCTCTCGCCTCCTGCCACCACCAGGTAGTGTCACAATCCCTGTCTCTCAGTCCTCTCCTGCCACTCTGCTGCAGTGTTTTTCCACTCCCCCTCCCTCTGCTTCACTCTACCTGCCAGCCGCGCCCACCTCATCAGCCCAACTCTGCTCACCTGCCTACACAGCTGCAGCTCATCAACCAGCCCTGCATATAAGCCTCTCCAGCACCTTCACTCACTGCCAGATTGTTCTTTAGCATTATGCGAGACTCTCCAGCGTTCTTCTCCTGCCTGATCTCCCGGTGCCAACTCTGCCTGTCCCCGACCTGCTCTCCTCGTCTGCCTCCCGGTAAACTCACCTGCCTTCTGTCCCCGACCTCGTGCTTTGCTTCAGCGTCTCTGGTTTCTGCCTGCTCGTCTGGTCTCGACTCCTCCGCCCGGCCTCGTCTACCCTCCTGCCTGCTCCTCAACGGTGCTTCTGCCTTCGCTGACGGCTCTTCTAGCTACGACCCCCCCCACCGGCTCCCGACCTCGCCTCAGCTCACTCCTCGTCGGCTTCTCAGCACGATCAGCCGGCGCTTCAGCCTACGGTGCGTCTGCCTCGCCACCTTTGGCTGCCGTAAGCTTGATCTCTTTCCTTCATCTGAGCCTCAGAGACTGTGTGAGGGCAACTTGCCCGAAGAACGAACTTTATTCTGTGTTTATTCTGCCTGCTGCATTCCCTGTTTGCTGTGGTGCTAATAAAAGTCATTACCAACTGTTCCTGCGAGCCTGGTACTGCATTTGGGTCCACAAACACACCCGTTTCAGGTAGCTCACTTCTCCGTGCAGCCGTTTTTGTGTTTTTTTTGCTGCTGTTTTTGTAATAAATTATTGTGATATTTACGCCTGTCTCCTGGTACTTGGGTTCCTTCAGGTTCTCGCCAGTCCTTAACAGTGACTAAAATTACAAAGCTTAAACAGGTTCTAACCAGGCTCAAACAACTTGATTCATCTGTTGCTTTTGTACAAGAGACCCATCTACTGAAATACGACATTCTGAAGGTTAGAAGGAGATTGCCAGGCTAAGTGTTACATTCATATTTCACCTCTCGTTCAAGAGGTGTCTTGGTGTTGATTCACAAATCTGTGTCATTCCAGGTGACTAATACGATTACAGATAGAGCTGGCAGATACCTGGTGATACAGGGGTCCATGTCATTGGTCCGACAGCCCATTGGTTCGACATCCCATTAGTCCGACTGTCCGCGGTGCTGAACGGCTCGCGGCGGGCGTATGGTGCGCCGCGACCAGCTCTGGGTCAGCTGGGAAAGGCTTTAGGCGGAGCAGGCTCACGGCTTATGTGTTTGTCACTTTCTTTTTCATTTTAACCTACACCATGATCTTTTCCTGACCCTAACCAAGTGGTTTTTGTGCCTAAACCTAACCAGACCTTAACCACAGGGCATCATGATGATTTCGGAACGGACTTCGGAACAATGAGTTTAATATGGTTGGAACAATGGGATGTCGAACCAATGGGCTGTCGGACCAATGGGCAGTTCCCATGATACAGGGCATTCTTCGTGAAAATATTAATTTGATAAATGTATATGGCCCAAACGATGATAATCCCTCATTCTTTAAAAATTTGTTTTTATTAATTGCTTCTCTCACTGGCAAAATTCTAATTGCAGGTGACTTTAACTGCACTTTGGACCCTCTGCTCGACTGCTCCTCTGGGTTAGACTCCTCTCATTCTTAAAGTAGGAAGAGGACTTCCGGTGTGATCGTCAAGAGCATGGCCGCCTAGACAGGAGCTCCCAGTAAACTACCCCAAACTATCTTGAAATTCTCTAAGTTTAAGACCGGTATCATTGCCAAAACTGTGACAGGGGGTTGTGGACTGCTTATGTGAACTATATTTGATCCTACATTCAGTAACTTTTATGAGTGGGAAGCAATATATGACGAGGTGCAAGGCCAAGAAGGAAACGCTACAAGCTAACGCTACTGACACGATGGAGGGCGAGTCGGACTCTAGTGGTAAAAACAAGGCTGGCATTTTATCTGCTATGCAAATGGCGCTATGGAAGAAATGGGCCGGGTCAGCAAACTGCTGCAGGTCCGTCTGGTTCTGCAGACGGATATAAATCAGATAAAGGTTAACAACGCCGAGCTCCGAACAGACGTGGACGACGTTATTAAGAGACTAGAGGAAGCCGAAAGCCAGATCTCAGAGCTAGAGGACGACAACGCTGACCTCCGCGTGACAGCCCAGCACAACGCTAAAGCATGTCGGCTGTCGAGGATGTTACCAACAGTGATAGATGCCGGGACTTGAGGTTGATCGGCCTGAAGGAGAGAATAGAGGGCCGCAACCCAGCGGATTGTGTGCGTTAGATCATCTCCGAGGCGCTGGATATACAGGTCCATCACAACTACAGCGGGTACATCGTACCGCTGCAGAAATGCCCAGAGATGATAAACCACCCAGGCCTATCATAATCCTCTTTCTGAGTTACTTGGAATGGGAAAGAGTATTAGCAGCATCGAGGGAAAAATACAGAAAGGGAGAAAAGGTGTGGTGGGGAGGCTGCAGACTGTCTTTCTTCCCGGACATGACAAAGGAACTGGCGGAGAAAAGAAAGCTGTTCATGGAGGCGAGGATGAAGTTGTACGCTCTGGATGTGTGTTTCACCTTGGCGTACCCAGCGGAGCTGCGCTTCACCTGGGGAGGTAAACGGATGAAGTTCAACGGTCACAGTAAAGCAATGGAGTTTCTGAAGAAGATTAATACTACCGACACCAACACCACGAGTTCTTCAGATATTAAGTTGCCAATTATATATAAGTTTTTTTACTTTATAGATAAAGCAGAGCCATATTTCAGGTGTGAATAAGTTAAATTGGCAATAAGTTCTGCAGTGAGAAATGGGGTTTGGGGTTTTTTTGTGGGCTGGCCAATTTCCTCTGCGATGCACAGACTTTTGTTGGGGAGGGCTTACGTAATTGTCGGGGGGTGCATAAGGGAAACCGTTTTTGGTTAGAGTTTGTGTGTGTGTTTTTGTTTTAAATTTAGATGGAAATTAAAGGTTGTGCAGGGAGTTCAGCACAAGTAATGTGTTTTCCTTTCTTATTTTTTTGTTTGACAGTCAGACAGCACTCAAGTATAATGTGGACATTTGTACCTATGTTTATCCTGTATTTGGTTTTCTCAAATCCTAAAGTGCTAAGAGCATTTGATAATGGTTAGTTTTGTAAGGTTTATCAGCTGGAACATAAATGTATCTCAGAACCCTGTAAAGAGGAGAAAATGTTTAACATATCTCAAATCCCAGCAAGCTGATATTGCCTTCATTCAGGAGACTCATTTGGTCGACTCTGAAATAATTAAATTCAAAAGAGATTGGGTGGACCAAATCTTTTCTAGCTCCTACTCTAGCAAAAAATCAGGGGTTGCGATACTGGTGCATAAAAAATTGAATTTTATCTTGCTAAAACAACATAAAGATGATTAAGGTCGAATAATATGTGTAGAGGCTAAGATAAATGGGGTTAAGATCAATCTATGTAATATTTACGCTCCTAATAAGGAAGAACCAGAGTTTTACCACAGGGGAAATAAAATGCCGGGGGAAATAGAAGGAGGCTTTTATGTAACTGTGGGTGATTACAATCCGGTACAAGATGGGATTTTGGATAAAACTACACACTCTACTCATGTGCCTAGAGACAGGAAAGCCATACATTTGATGATGAATAATTTGGGCCTTGTCGATATCTGGAGGCTGGCTAATCCTAGGGGAAAGGAATTTACTTTTTACTCACATAATCACAAGTCATATTCAAGAATCGATTATTTTTTAATATCTAGAGCTCTTACTGATTTGTGTAATTGAATGTACAATTGGTCCTATTGCAATATCGGACCATGCGGCTGTGCATCTATGTATGACGATTGGGACAGATGATGTGAAGAAAAGCAGGTGGAGATTAAATGTATCCCTATTACAGGATCAAATATGTGCCAATTCAGTAGAGGATGATCTTAAGAGTTTTTTTGAAATAAATACTGGGTCGGTAGAGAAGGTGGGCACAGTGTGGGAGGCCTCTAAAGCCTATATTAGAGGGAAAATAATAGCATGCTCCAGCAAAAAGAAAAGGGAACATAGGGAGAAACTTTTGAAATTGGAAGCCCACCTTAAAGAAAAGGAAAAGGAATTGGTGGGAAATCACACTGAAACTCTCCTAAAGGAGGTTTGTGAACTGAAATTTCAATTAAATGATTTATATAACAAAAAAGTTGAATATGCATTGTTTAGGCTGAACAGTATTTTTTTTACGAAAGCAGGGAGAAAGCTGGTAAACTTCTGGCTAGACAATTACAGCAAAAAGAAGCTAATTCTGTAATACCAGCGATACAAAATAAAAACAGCAAGATAGTAACCACTAATAAAGAAATAAACAAAGTATTCCATGATTTCTATGTTGGGCTTTACTCATCAGAAATGATTCCATCACCCGTCAAAATCGATGAGTTTTTTTCAAAGACTAATCTCCCTAAATTGTCTGAAGGTCAGGAAAAACGATTAGATGAAGCAATTACAGAACAGGAAGTTAGGGCTGCAATATTGGCATTAAAAGTAGGGAAATCACCGGGATTGGACGGGTTTCCTGTAGAATATTATAAAAAATGTATTAATATACTAGCACCCATACTGACTGATGTATACACAGAAGCATTTTTATCAGGAAAATTGCCAGACACTTTTAATGAGGCTTTAATTTTATTAATTATTAAATAAACAGTTTAAGTTAGGGCTTAATGAATTTATTCGGATAAATCAGAATTCAGTAGAAGATGCAAGGTACTTATGGGATTCTATTAAAGATTTCATAAGAAACAACGCAATAGCATTTGCTTCAGGCTCTAACAGAGCTCAGCTGAAAAAGATATCAGAATTAGAATCTATTCAGTCAACATTAATTACAGAACTGCAGAATAATTTTGACTCTGAAAAAGAGAAAGAATTATGTAAAGTTAAAACAGAGTTAAATGCACTTTCTATGCAGAGAGCAGAATTTTTAGTTCACAGAGTGAGACAGACTGCTTATCTTGATGGAAGTAGACCTAGCTTTCTGCTAGCCAGCAAAATAAGAAATAACGACAATCTAGCCCATATAACCTCAATTAAGTCAGAAGATGGAGCCCTGTTACATGATCCAGAATTAATAAATCAAGAGTTTCTGCAATTCTATATGAAATTATATACTTCAGAGTCACAATGTACAAGTAAAAAGTTGGATACTTTCTTTGCTGATCTCAATTTACCTAAATTATCTGCTGCTGATTTTAATTCTTTAGAAGTCCCTTTAACTCTCACTGAATTGTACAATGCACTGAAGGAGATGAAACGTGGTAAGTCACCTGGTTGTGACGGCATCCCTCCTGAATTGTATTTAACTTTTTGGTCTGAATTAGGGCCTTCTTTATTTGAAATGATTCAAACCGCTATTCAGGAAGGGAGTTTTCATAGAGATGTTAATACAGCAATCATTTCCTTGCTCCACAAGTCTGGTAAAGATCCTAATCTTTGTTCAAATTGGCGACCCCTATCTATTATTAACGGGGATATTAAGCTGTATGCTAAGGTTTTAGCTCGTCACCTTGAGACCACTTTGCCTGTATTAGTGCATCCTGATCAGACAGGATTTATTAGAAATAGAATGGCTTCTCATAACATAAGAAGACTTCTTCACATCATCCATTCAGCATCATC